ATCACCAAGTACATATTATACCTCGTCATCAAGATACAGGCTTATTATCGGGTTTTATCTTAGTCGACATGATCATAGGGCATTGTAATGATTTGTATTTCAGTAATGTAAGTCTTTATCGTGGTAATGAAATGTAAATTAAGATGACATAATGTGCTTGTAGTTGTATACCACGCCCATATAATGGATAGCAACTGACACAAGTGCTAGGGAATAGCCATTTCAGAGTCGTTCTAAAGAGTGGGTTGAAATATTCAGCAACAAACAACTAAATCGTCTCAAAAAAATCCATTCAGAAAAATCAAGTCCGTTAAATTATATACTACATAGGAATCATAGGCTGACAAAACGTTCAAACAATAATCCATTGTCTTCTCATAATGATGGTTACCTGCCATACAACTTAAACTCTTCTGATTTTCACAGCTATTGTTAACCAAGAAGTTGATAAGTTTCTGAAGTTTATGGTGATTTCTTCAAGATCTCAGTCAATACGGCGCTGAGAACAAGCAAAGAGAAAGGAGCTCAAACAACTAAGATGCAGAATGCGGATGAAACGTTTTGAGGTTTTCCATCTCACCTCCCTGAGAAGAATCTTGACGATAAAGTGGTGACGTTCTCAGGCGTGCTGGTGTTGTGTTCATCAAAACTTCCATCGGTTCTGCTCGACTGCAGTGGTTCGGACACGTTTTAAGATTGCCGGAGACCAGTTAACGGAAGTTTGGAACAAGAGATGAGTGGTATGCAGGCCAACGAAAATCAGGTACACGCACAGCGGAAAAATGTCAAATAACAAAAAATAATAATTCCCAAATTAATCAGATGATACTAGTGGTACCTAATAACAATTAAAAGTATTTCACAAATTACATCTAAGATTTTGCGACAAAAATATCGCTTCAGTGTGCTGGAAAGTGGGTACCCTCTACATGGCAGATTACGTGTTTGAATACTTGTTTAATCTGCAGAAAAAACCTGGGTGTTAGCAGCAAGACTTATAATAGATATAGGGTGGGGTTATGAAAAAGGAAAAATAATATTTAGTAACCGTAATCCGTATGACAAGATAGTAAAACAAAACACAAGACATGGGAGGTCCCTCATTGTCCATTGAGAAACAAGTAAAGGAGGTCTAACAATACCCAAAATATTAGAATATTTAAATATATATATTAGAATATTAGAATATTGTTATGTGTAGTGTTGTAGAATATAGTAAGAATAGGATCAGTCAGACCTGTCGATGTTACATACATATTCGTGCCACGACTCACAACGGTAAATTACCCAGTTCATGTGTTATTCCGATAGAGTGTTGAAAAAGAGGTGCTAATAGCCCAAAGTGGCAAAAGTCACTGAAATCAACGGTAAGAGTGGATAGCATATTATGATAAAAGTGGCCAAAAAGTGGTAGAAGTGGCTAATCTTAAGGCTAATTAAATGGCTTATGTCAGCGGTAAAAGAGGCTTATATGGTAGCCATATTAATATGACTAATTGACGGAATAATTTGGATATATTTGTGGTTTAATGCAACTCATGCCATACCCGGCAATTTTTTGAATTCCTAAAATAACCATATATTTTCTCAAATCTTGTAAATTAACATAAATTAAGAAACATACTCTGTTTGCAAAACAGTTACACCAGGGTATTAATTTTCAATTGAGCTACCAACCACTCTATTAGTATTATACAGCATACCACCAAATCAAGTACAGTAAATTGTAAAACCCCGACATACCGCAAACCCTGATTTATCGCGGCTACCTCAATCCCAAAAATAGGGCTTTACGAGCACAATGTAAACCAACAAAACCCCGATTTACCGTTTTTTTCTCACAAACTCCGCGGAAAATAGTAGTTTCGCTCTATTGGCTTATTGGGCATTAAATCAGCAGTTAACCACCTAAAAATGAACAATTGTAAACTGACACCAGTAACAGAAATTGCCACTCACACGCAAGCAATATATGGTACGTATCATAAAAATTTTGACGGTCAGTACTTTGACCATATTCGCAGCATTATAATGAAATTGAACTGTGAGTGACGATGCCTTTTAACCTATCATGATAGAGTGAAGTTCTTAATTAATAAAGGTAAACAATTTGGTGGTGTGGGTCTTTGTTTTCATCGAGGAGATCTCAACAAAAATTGATTTTACTTATATTTTCTTGGTGACTCCATGACTTTGACTAAGATGGAGTTGACAGGGGGAGAACCAAAAATATGATCTATAATAGAGCAAATAATAATAACATAACCGCTCAGCTTTAAAAAAATCAAAATTAAACCGCAGAAAAGCAAGTTACAAAACCACTCTGACCTCAGAGGAAGTTTCCAGCAGGAGATAAGTATCTCTCCTAAGTATGATGTGCCGCTGAACATGTGCCGGCCGTTACTGATAACAGTTGGTGGCAATCTGACGTGAACTCTAACGTGCAGCTACTTTAACAATTTGGCCGACCTGTGATTGATTAAATTCAGAGCGAGAAGCTGGTTGCGTTACGGTATCTTCAGATCTGAATGTCGGGCTCGCACAGCTGCAAATTCGTGCACACTCCTTTGAAAGTTGAACAGAACACGACGTGTTAATAGTTTTCTAATGAAGTTAGAGGTTTTGTTCAGCTATAAAAAGAACAACTCCTGCTGCTAACCCCGCAACCTGGGGATTTTAAGAAGAGGTATTGATTGGGTGAGCTACCATTTTTTGACAGTAGCTGGAAATAAAGGGCAACCTTCCGAAAACAAGTGCCGAAAACCAAATTCCGTACGTGCCACAACGTGAAAAAACAAAAACAAACACGCCTCTCCAATCAGAAGAGCACTACTTAAAATAACCGAGAGCCGCTACTCGAGAAGTCATATCGGCTACCGACGCAGGAAAAAACAAGGAGTCTTATTATCAGAGTCTCTCTCTCTCTCTCTCGCTCTCTCTCTCTCTCTCTCTCTCTCTCTCTCTCTCTCTCTCTCTCTCTCTCTCTCTCTCTCTCTCTCTCTCTCTCTCTCTCTCTCTCTCTCTCTCTCTCTCTCTCTCTCTCTCTCTCTCTCTCTCTCTCTCTCTCTCTCTCTCTCTCTCTCTCTCTCTCTCTCTCTCTCTCTCTCTCTCTCTCTCTCTCTCTCTCTCTCTCTCTCTCTCTCTCTCTCTCTCTCTCTCTCTCTCTCTCTCTCTCTCTCTCTCTCTCTCTCTCTCTCTCTCTCTCTCTCTCTCTCTCTCTCTCTCTCTCTCTCTCTCTCTCTCTCTCTCTCTCTCGCTCTCGCTCTCTCTCTGAGACATGGCAAGTAAAGTTGTGGACCACCCACATGTGGGACGGTACTGCTCACTCCAGGTGGCGGTGTGGTCCCCTGCACACTTCTCTTAAGTGCTTTTTGTGCACTTTTTAAATCGCCTCCAATTCCAGAATAAATCCAGCATAATTATGCGAAGTAGAGCATGTTCAGCGGAGATAATATTATGTTTTTTAACGACAGTTGAGTTATGTTCGGGGGCAACAGGAGTTGCATATGAGTGGGCTGAAACTCTATTTTGACACGTTCATGCGAAAACACGTGGGCTTTTTAAAAACATTGACTCAATTTAATATATCTGCTGCTAGCGGAGCGGTATGTGAAAATTTCTAAATATTCCCCGTTTCGAATGCAGGCGAATAGTTAGTTGACGCATATTGGGCATGTTCAGCTTTCAGACATGCTACCACAACTCGCGCATGTGCACGTGCAGTATGTTCACTGCACGTGTTGTAAGACACTTCTACAACAAACCGTGAGAAAGAAATACAGTGGCTCTTTCAGAGATCAGGTCTCTTTGTTGATATGTCAACAGCATAAGCAGCTGTCACGTGTTTAAATGAACCTGACCAGGCTATAAACTGACTGGTATTGATATATTTGATAACACGCACAAGTAGAGCTCATGCTCTGATATTGATCGAAACATTTGTTTGATGTAAAACGTCGTTTCATCTTGTATTCTGCTATTGACTAGCCGATAGAGCACTGTTAACAGACGACGCCTCCCAAAGCATACTTGATATCATATATATTTGATACATTTAATACGAAACGAAACACAGTATTTGCTTCTCCGCACGTATATATTATATACGGCAAAGATTCTGTTTTAAAAATTAACTAAGGAAAAAATTCATTTGATTTCAATTAGGTTGGTGACCACAATTAAAAGAATATCAAATATTTGATAAATTGAATAGACCAGTTAAAGCATTACAAAGATGAGACAGGTTTGTTTTTACACTCTACAGCTGTTGTCATATCAGCTATAAAGAACTGGGCGGTGCTTTATCGACATTGGCTACGAAAGAAGCACGGCATCAGTTTCTTACGGCTAATATACTACCAATTGTACAGGAGTTGAAACTTATTGTGAAATGATAACGAACCAATTATGAGTTATTACATTCTATCGTCCTAGGCCAGAGGCCTCCATGTCAATGGTAACTTCGTACCATATAATAAGTACCTTATATCAAGTGTGCATGTCCCGAAAGAACCGTAGAAGAAACAGTTATCAGAGTAACAGAGATCAGAACCAGATAGAGTTCACTGCATTAAGAACAACAATAAAACCAGTGCTGGCAGAGACAATGATCGTCCAGGCATGACTTTCACATCCCACAATTTGATTTTATTTCTGTTCCTAAAGAGTTAAAAGGCGTCAGTGTATTCCCAGACATAGCTTGCTAGGAAATAACTGTGTATTGGATACCCGTCATATTTACAGACGGTTGCATATTTTCTACATTATATTTTATAGCCCTCGTCGTTGATAATGTTATATAAAATTTGAAAAGATTTTGATTTAATACAAACTCTGTCCAGGATACAAATGTGATGTTGATGAAAGGTTTCTATCCAGTACACGTTTAGTTAAATTGACACAAACCATAATAAATTGAAAACTGATTAATTTGGTGAGTGGACTGGCATAATGTTGTTGGGTGATATAAACCACGTCCGGCTTGTAAGAATGGAACTTACCGTTTGGATTGGTAGTGTCTGTCTTCTTGTATATATCCTGTGTATTAACAGTGACCCTCAGTTTGAAGTCTGAAGAGGTGTGAGTGGAACAGTTCCTCTGTATCTCCTGCTTCATCTCATCAGACTGTAATACATACTGTAAAACATTCTAGCACCATTTAGTTCACGTCACAAACGTAATTTGTCAATATTAAAAAGTGCTGAGAATTTTGTGGTTCGTCTTAAAATTGGACGTGCATTTTCTGATGCCTTTTTTAAAGCTGATGATTAAATAAAAAACGTGAGAGCGACGGTAGAGGAAATTTACTTTACATACATTTTGTGCAGGAAAATGGATGCTTAATTGTTAATGCAATTTAATTTTGAACTCTCCGACGAGTTATGCATTTTATTGTCGACAGATTAAGTAAATGCCGCGACTAAAACAGCAACGCGAATTCTTAGGTTTAGGAATTTTGGTGCGTAGAATTTGATGTTTTACATCAAATTTGATTATATATAAATACGTTTTATTAAATAATTGTTTTATAAAAAAAAGAAAAGTAGACTTGAATTGTGTTTATACTGGTTGGAAGATGACGCAAGTATGTTTTGCACAGTGGCTAACTCGTTCTATTGATCGCTGTTAAAACAAGTTAAAGTCATGATCTCCAAACCATTACCTATTGAACCAACCTGTTTAGCAGTAGCGTATAGTATTGATATACCATCACACTTTATCAGAGACTTCCTGCCGCTCTCATTTCCCACCAGATGTTTAATAGAGTTCAGTATGGACTTTCTTATGTGCACAAACTTGTGGAGCTTGTCTAGATCCGTCCAGTAGTTGAATAGATCCAACATTCTCCTGTAATATTACCTTAAACCGTGTGCAATTTATTAATAATACGATCTTCCAGTTCTAATACTGGGTGAACAAATTGTACATCAAGAATCTTTTATTATTCAAAATCATTTCATGATACCCCTCAATATTATGGAGGCAAAAATCCCCAAAATTTCCCCACACTTCAAACAAGTAACAGTTAAACAGTTGGTTCTGACCTTGTAGCGCCGTTGGCAGCAGCCTTGACAGCGTTGGCCCGTATAGCCAGTACCTGTGTATACAGTTCCAGAGCGTATCTGAACACCGCTATATTTTGTTTACCGTACATTGAGAAATATCTGAAATATTTTAATATTATTTTGTCTTTTAAACAGCTCTTAATCTCAAATTATTTGTTATATAGTAGTGTTGGAAGTATTTAAAGAGTTTAACTTAATTAAATAGTTAAGTACTGCACGGTGTGTGGGCGTGTTGCGGACAACAACTGTAAACAGGTCGTTTTAAGAACTGAATGCAAATAAATTTATTGAACTCCGAGAGAGGAGTTGGTGTTGGGATACGGTGGGAAGGACGAAGGTTACAGATCAGACTTGAAGTACTCAATAATTTGGTTGATGAAAATGTTTTTGAAAGGAAGCAATTGAAGGAATTTTTGAAGGAATTTCCTAGATTCGAAGTCAAGGAAATGGGACGTACCGTTCTATAAGGTTGAGGACACCGTTTTTAACCAGCGATAAGGAGTTGGAGTGGTTGGTAGCGTAAATCTTTAGCACCTGTTCAATATATTTAGATTAGGTTATTTCAATATTAATATATACATAGATTTTTTAAACACGCTTGAAGGCTCTCTTAGTCTTAACGTTTGACGATAGATTCAGTCCCTATCGTTCCCATTTCCATGCTACAATAATAATCCGAAATAGACCATTTAAGATGAGCATCGGTTGGGGTAATAGGCGATTATAAAATATCTCCACGTTAAATTACAGGAATCGTCTTAACATCTGGCCACGTTTCATATGAGAAAATTACGATTTACTGCAGTTGAAATAAAAATAATTGTAATCCCTGCTTTATTGGGCGTTTCGTTTCCAATTTCTCTTGGATAATTACCCATAATCGATGATCATTCGCCGAGGTAAGCATGAATTATTTGATCATTAGTCAACAGTCACGACACAGATATAAAATTGTCAAAGGACGAATTACTATTTCAGAAGCTCCAATCGATTGCTCGAAAATAACATGATGCTTATTGGTCGGTGAAGGTCGAAGCGTAAGGTCGGCGGCAATCAGTCGGGATTTAATTTTTCAGCGATAATTGCTATGTATTACGAAATCATCATTTTAGAGTTTTTCGTAAGGACTCTTTTTACGATGTTCTTAATCTTTACGTCGATTTGTTATTCATGATATTAGGGTATTGGTAAAACTCGACATCATTAAGCAAATCTATTCGGATTATTTGGGCAAAAGATAGCAGTTATAACGTTTTTTAATCAAGCCGGATTATTTTTGCACAAGTAAACAGTATAAACCTGAAGTAAGGGTGAACTGAGGTCGATGTTGTTGATGCACTGTTTAGCAAGGTCTAGCGTCACCGTCACAACACCACACAATCGCGCCTTCAAAGCTAGCTTCTTCTCTGAAGTTAGGTGGAACCGTGGTTGGTTATACTGTAATTATATATAGCTTCTTTTGTGAAGACAGCAAGAATGATAATACGGTGTATTTTACTGTCACATTGATGCGTTGTGGTTTAGAAGTGAATTAATTAATGAAAGAATTTCTCGTGTTTTTCCTTAATGTTTTTAAATACATTTTTAGATTTCGATATTTTGTATCTTGTAACTTGTTTGATCCTACAAGTTCTGAATTGATTAGTGATTTTAAATTGGCACTTTAAAGTTGGCATTTTTGACGGAAGGCGTGACACAATTGTGTTGATCAAGAGCAAGGAATTGAGACAGCTACTTGTGGAGAAAACTTAGAAATAAGTTACAATTTCAACGCCGTCGCTTGTTCTTTAAAACAGGGCACTTGTATTTGCACGGTTTGTTTCTTTAGAATTGTTTGTTTATCAAAACATATTATTTCCTCGCTTAAACTTAGAATATAAGTGAATATTAGTGAATATTCTTGGGACTAGCAAACCCTTTAAGAAACTGTTGATTTTACTGCAGGGCAGAACTCAAGAAGCCTGACAAAGTCGTGATAAAGTTGATCAGTCATATAGAAAACCGATTTATAAATTAGAAATCGGACGCCTCCAAATATCCATGAATCGATAGTTCTATCCCGCAATTGATCGTGATGTAACGGGAAATCTCTATTTAGCTGGAATGAGAGGTTCTTAGTTGTCGGTCACCGCTTTCAACCTGCATCTAATGATGCCAATTTCAAGCGGTCACCGCTTTCAACCTGCATCTAATGATGCCAATTTCAAGCGAGATCACATTTCAATTCCACGGTGGAATTCCACCGAAGACAATAAATGCATCTAATGAGACCTATTACGAAAGAGATACAGTTTAAGTCCATAGTAATCGAGTTTCGTTGCAATTCTAGCATAATACTTCGGTGGAATTCCAAGAACGGTTACCACAATGGCAAACTCGATAACCCCTAAATACTAACCCTTGGTGGCAAGTTTGATGAGTAACAAGTGTTGATGAAGACACAATTCCTCGAGTAGGGGTCGGACACGTGATGTGGCAGCAACACTTCTTAGCAGGGCGTGAGGGGCTCCTTGTCGCACCAACCTCGTACACTTGCTGTCTTGGAGGGTACGTTGTGATGAAGGGGGTTGGGAAAGGGGGGTTGAGAGGGGGGTAAGAACTGTTTCATTGTTGTATCCGTATGGCAAGTTATTGTAAACTGACTTTAGTAAAAAATATAGATGTGGGCCCGTGCGAAGTTAACTTCAACAAAGGAATCCGAATTAAGGATTATTTAATTAGAAGTTCAACTTTAAATTAGGGTATTTCGGCGATTGGGATTTGAATTTCTTGCGCTCTTATAGAAGTATGTTTGCTTACTTGATGATGAAGCGATGTGAACTAATATATGAACCGTATTCAGATGGAGGGCCACGTCTTGAGTCGTCTGAAATACATACCAACATGAGTATAATAACAAAGTAATATCATTGCAGTCTCAGCTCATTTGTAATATTTTCTACAGAAAATGCAGCCTGCGTTGCTAAACTTGTGTGTGAGAAGCAGAACATGCAGCACGTTGGTACTACATGAAGCACTCATCAGCACATCTCCTAATCAGTGAGCCAAGAAGGCTTAATAAGTTTAATATGAAGATTAAATCGTTATGGACGAGAAGGGTTGTTTTGACTCTTGGTATTACAACTTCTACAAAATATTGATAAGTACGCTCGTGCGCTCTTTCGAAAATCCACACTCAACAAAGACCGTCTGAACCTTGAATCACAATCATGTCGTTGCGCGTTTCATATAAATCCACCGAAATTTTAAATTTGCCACGAATTCTGGAGGACACATTGAATTAACATGATATGCACAGCATATCAGGTACTTGCCCGGTTTTCTACCGACATATGAGCACACTTCTGCGTGCGCCGTACGGAAAAGCATGCTACAATTAATTTTCACTCCGTAGTAAAATGTCAGTATCAAAGAACAAGAGCAGCTACTATAAGTTACTGCTACCAGTGGTAATATCCCACCACAGCTAAATGTGAGTATTCATTAGTTTTGTAATTAGATTTGAGGTAGTATTAGATTCACTAGGCGTATTATAGCTGGGTTGACTGTTGATCAGGTCAGGTTCCTGCTAAGTGCTAAGTTAACAATATTTTAAAAGTTCTTAGTTTTAAAAGTTCAGGGAGGGGTTTCAAAAGAGTTAAAGTATCATTTAAATATTTCAACTTATTTTAAAACTGTTTTTCTGTTTCCATTCCGTATAAATGGCGAAACTTTGTTAAAACTTCAAACTTATTACTTATAAAGGTGAGCAGTAAGGTAAAAGGCTAGTACGTGATATTATATTTACTGAATTCCCAGTAAAATCCAATAAAATGTCCGCTCTAATATGTAATGTAAGGATATTTTATTAGATTTCAATACTCGTGTAATAAATGGTTAGATAGGGTTACATATTTTGACAAATTGCGACAACTCTACGACAGTATTTTGTGAGTATTTCAAAGGAGAGCTATTTTAGTAAATATATTTTACGAATTTTCAAACATACAGAATATGTTACATAAACTAGTTTGGGTAGGTAATTAGCTAATTGAGTTGGTAATTATAGCCAAGAGTTTTAAATATTAACTAAACTGGTTACTAAGAAACTAATAAGTTGACTTTAATTTATCGACTAAGCAAACTAAATCGCTTACCATGAGTAAAGTCACAAGGGATTGTGAAACTTTGGATTTTCGGAGGATGCTTTCCGTCAGGGTCTTCTCTGAGGTAGAAATTGTTTGAGAATAATTGTTTATGGTAGGTATTATTTGTAAACTGAAGACTTAAATATATACAGAAGACGTAAATATATACAGAATTAATCAATTTAGTACAGAATTGTGGATTGTCGGATTGATAAGAAGCTTTAGTACCGGCTTTTGTAAAAAACATTATTCAAAATATCATGATAATATTGTGCATATATTGTACTGTATTATGTAATTAACACTCACATAGAACTTAGAACTTTCCTATCTAGCAATGGGAATCTATATATCTAACTTTGTTAGCGCTAAAACTGTGTCGAAAAAAAATGTGGTTCTCCTCCATACCATATATATCTACGGGGCTGCTTCTGAGCAAAGTATGAGAAAATGTACAAAAATTTTATTAATTTCTACAGACTATCTGCGAGCTGCGTCATTTACAAGCAGCGATCATAATCTTAGTTATTATTTTTAGAATATACCTATATCAGACATCAGTATACTATATATATATATAGTATATACTATATACTTTACCGTGTAGAAAATTATAATACTTAATAATTATGTAGTATACTGATACATCCTCCTTGTAAATAACATGTATCAAGTGAAATCTGCCAAGATCGGAGAGCTACAACACAATATCCCGCCTACACCATCCCCGCAGCTAGTTTAATATTCTGTATATCGTGCTGGGGAAATATTTTATAGTTGAGGAGCATGGTAATGTAACTGTAGGCTTAGCGACATGACTCTCTCATAACATATCCACTATCTTTAAAGTATGTAGATCTGATTGTTAAAGTTGCACTGTAAACATATTATCAGATCTGATAAGCTGAGATATGTTGTGTACAATATTATGTATGATATATGGTAATTATGTTTATGGGAAACTTTGGGTTGATCTCTCATTTAGAAGTATCTACACCATATTACACATGCTGCAGTTGCAGTTTGAAAGATGGGCTGCTATGCATCAGCCGGCTGAGTTTTGGAAAATTTGAAAATTCCCGTATTTTCTGCAGTTGTAATTATCATGTATAAAGTCTAGATCCATCAAGAAGTAAGTCCGTTTATCTATATAAACTGTTTGGAAGGGAAACGTTGTTCTTGAACAACAGATACGACAGGTTATTGGTCCAGAATTAAATGTGTCAAAGTGTCAACTGTTTAAAAGTTGATACAACCAAAATCAGTAAAAACACAGACTGGTTATTTTAGTTATTCATCCTACTAAACGTGATGGCTGTGTATAAAATTAGTTTTTGTCAGTTTCCACCCGCTGGGGAGGGGGGGGGGGGGTGATAAACTGAAGTTTCACGAGCTGTATAGATAACAGAAGTAATTGTGAAATGGTTATAACACTGCAGTATTGCAACAGTAATATGAACCCGAGTTATCCGACCGGTCCAACATTATCTGATTGATAGAAATGTATCGGGGTTCCTACAAGATTCATAGCATTCCATGTCACTGTGACAACAGCTTAACAGAAAAACTATCCCTCATTATGGGATTTGGAAGTAATTCACTGCACTGTGAATCATCAAATATTTCAAATATCTGTCTCACACCAGAGCTGGTAGGGGTTTGTCTAGGACTAACATCTTGACATTCGTTATGATGTTTCATATACTTTCTACATGACAAAGCCCTAGACTTGAGGAAAGCATGTAAACTACGGTAACTGGCGAAGAAGCCTCAAAACCGAATCTCCGTACAATTTTTACTGGAGAGTTATTATAGGGATCTCACTTGTTTGCAGCCAAGTTTACAAATATTTTCCGACAGTAAAAATGTTACGATACGCGAGTAGATTACACGCGTTATTTTTTTGCACAGTTTACGGCGTGAAGATGTTATTAAACCACGGTAGATTTGTACTACATAATATGATCTTGTTAAATAATAATATTTACTTATTCAACGTTGATTAAAACTTAAATCATAACAAAGAAATCTCCCAGCTAAAGAGAACCTTCCTGCTTGCAACACCAACCGTGCAATGAGTAGTAGTACACACAATCATGTGTTATATTACACAGTTCAGAAACAGACCGTGAACACTCGTATTACATGTGTATTAATATGGTCCTGTAATATGGGAAATTGTCATGATCTTCTAGTGGTCTGGGATACAGAGGGTTACAGATATAGGTATACACCATTACATTACTACTGTGTGTTGTAATGCTAGATATATTGCAATATATTTCTACATATTATCACAACGTTGTATATTACAATATTATATCACAACACGCTCAAACTGCAATTATACTCAATATAATAGTATAATATACTGCAATCTAGCCAGTACATATTACAATTGGACATATTTGAACAACGTGTAACTCAGTGTATCATATTGTAAATAGTAATATTATAACAAAGCTACTATGTTAAAGTAAGTTAAAGTAAATTAAAGTAAGTTGCAGACACAGGGCTGCCCTCGTGAACACATTTTGTAACTTTTGTAACTTTGCATGGTGGGCCCATTCTAAATATGCTTGTACAGGAGTTGCATCTGCACTCGATATCTGGTTTTTGGTGACCCACAAGTCAATTGATTACATTTTAAGTATTTTGCATAGTAAACTAGCTTGCAAATCAACACTTTCTCACAGGGTATATTTTGTAGTTTAATATACCATTGTGTAATTTGTATGTAATTGATTGATTTAAAAGATTTCAATAAAAAAAATGTAATTAATATGTACTTAAACTGAAATAGCTGAACACTGTTAAGGGGGCCGGGGGGGGGGGGTCTTCATCAAAATTCTCTCGAAATTGACTTTATAGTTGTTTCTGGTAGAAGGGAGTGATATCTACGAGCTGCTTTTGGTCCCATGGAAAAATATTGTTCCTAGCCGAAATTATCGCCGGTCTAAGGTCAGCGCTTATGTGTAATTGTATTGCGCGAGCGATTTTCAATCGCAAATTCTGAAAATCGAGTCTAAAAATCTATCTTCTCCTACATTTTTTGAGCAATTACACTGAAACTTTCAGGATATGTTCTAAGGACCTAATTTTGAGATAGGCCTTTAAAAAATTTTTATTCAATTTTGAAAATCTTGGACCTCGTTTTTTTACGATTTTTTCAGGTCGAAGATTTTCAAAAATTAATAAAAAATTTTTAAAGGCCTATCTCAAAATTTTGGCTTGAACGATCTCTTGATGAAGACCCCCCCCCCGGCCCCCTTAAGCTTTGGCCAAAATTAAAGTTGGAAACATTTTATTCGCTAAGCTTGCCGTCTCGGCTTAATATGGAAAAAGATACATATTAACATTCAGAGTATTAAGCGCGTCAATTATAATGGCCTATCAGCCAATGTGAATGGATCCCGATAGATGTTTGGTCAGAGTAAATATGAGACATATTACAACAAACTAGGACGCATTTCTATTTGCTGCTCGATAAGGAATTTATAATTATCCAGATATTGACAGAATACTGAATAATCTAGATGGCGAAATTGTTGCATCCCCCACCCCCCCCCCCCCCCCCCCCACTGTGATAAATGTATATTATATAATGTATCCTCTTAAGACTTGATCAGCCTGGTGATAAGTTGTTCAATGTTGGATAAAAAATACAGATAAACTGTTCAACCTACACTCTACAGTTAACAAACATTTACCTACAGACGCTTTTTGATAACAAACTAAGAATTGGCTAAACTCCATGAATTACACGTTTCAACTATCAGGCAAACATTATATCAGTTGTCTTGAATCTGCCTATTCAGTTCAACAGACTCACGAGTGTGGTGGTTTTACAGAAACTTGTTGACATGCTCTTTATGGTTGGAAAAGTCACATTTAAGGTTGGTATTCTGCTGATCTGGAGTTATTTGCAAGCTCTGTGATTGTTGTCCTGACCAATACAGAGGCGAGGGGAGAGAATGTGGCATGATACTGTAGTGGTCATCACAATGTTGCTTTATAAATTGTTAGACTCTTTTATTGAAATTGAGAATGCAATGAGGCGACTGAGTGCAAACTTGATTACGTATAATGAATCAGGAGTACTTTATTAATTCCACAGAGCTGTTTCGTACTTTTAAAAACTCTTTACTTCTAAAATAGCAAATATGATAATATGCTACTTATAGTAATGAAAGATAATTACTCAATATACACGCTGATGAATGGGCACCAGGATTCGTTGTAGCTCAAAACTAAATTCTATCAGGATCAATTAGGTTTTATCCGTGAGATTTCATTTTCCGCCACCAAAATTACAAAGAAAACTAGAGCGGAAATAAGAGGTGTCCAGGAAAAACAGTTGTTAGTCGAGCAGAAGAAAGTTACTTCTACAATATCATACAGTCTAATCTAATACTTAACCCCATTTTTGTGGAAGCCTGGCGCACACTAGGCTCTGTATTTCTCGGTGGTTATAAAAGCACCTAACAGCTGAGCAGATCATAGATTACCTCCCAAATCTTGAGTCACCAGATCTAATCTAGTCCTTGAAACCAGCCCTAAAACTAATCCCCGTCTGAGCTATTTATTATTTTATTAATAGTTCTGAGCTCTAGTTCTGTGGACGGTGCTAAGAAACGGGCTATTTGGATTCTGAAGCGTAATATATTTCTTTAAGTTTATTTTTAGTTTTTTCAACTCTTGATCGGTGCTAAGAAATACTTATTTGGATCCTAAAGCGACATTTTGTGATATTTTTTTGACATGTTATAATCATTGCGGCGTTTGTTCAAAGTAACCGACAGTTCAAAGTAATATATTATATTCTTGACGCACAGTAAACTACCAATAATTACTGAGTCAGCTGCTATGCTATTAATGTTACAAAAATGGGCCAAAGAATGAAGCAGATGGCACCTAAAATATTGAATAACAATTACCCCTCCCCATAGCCTTAATTAAATTATTTGACAAGTCTATTGAAGCTCGCGTTTTTGCACTAATATCTAATTGCTCCTGACTCCTGAGCTCCATCATTGTTTGTTTCGGCTGAATAGTATCAACAGCACTGTCAGCTAGACTCAATGTCACAATATGTATTATACAATACTTAGAACAAGTATATTATATACTTGTTTTAAGTAGATGTTTTTTGCAAAATATGTACTCGTTTGAAAAATAAGCTATTTTGCGGAAGAATGTCTGAGCTTGTGAGCTATTTGATTTTCAGCGGTTACAAATGTTTTACTATACAAATTCCTTAACGTTTTTCTTTACTAGTGATGCAGTATAGAGGGTGCGGGGTGTTCTAAGAGCTGATGTTGTTCACTTTACTAACAGCTCTTGTGATAACATGTTCACAGTCCACAGGTAGATTATAAGTTTTTATAAACTTCCAATGTTGAACTGCATGAAAACTATTTCCCGAGATACCTACAGACCCAACAGATATTTAAAACATACGATGAAATTCTTCTATCTCTTGAATGAAAAAAAATCATTATACGATGAATTTTTAGATTGGACCCGGTATGAGGAAGAGCACATTGAAATTGAAGGAGAAGTTATACAGTTCAAAGACGACGAAAAAACGACTGCAGGAATATTTGCGGCGGTCAAGTTTTCAGTGTTAGGCGAAAGTAATGTCAGACAGTTCCGGCTTGGGAAAAAGGACGGAAAATTCGCCAGTCATCTGTCTGTTTGTGACGGGTATGTTATTATTACTGGTAGTAGTTTAATTTTGAAGCCCTTACCACAAATCCAAAACAGCGATACAAATATAAACATTCCTATCAGTACCGGGTATAGAACCGAGTAAAATCAACAACAAACACTCGATATATTCTAGGTTCACAACAAGTAATCTTGAAGATTACTACGTTTCTAACGTGGAAATAGAGGACGATTGTATTTGGACACTGAAGTTTACCAGTGAGAGTTTGAATTGCCAGTGCAATGACAAGGTTGTGAGGGACTTCACCTTTGTGGAGGAAGATTGTGTGAACAAGTGGTCAGAGAGAAGTACTACTAAGATTATGTTTGAAAAAGTGACTAAGTGGCGACTTGCAGGTAGGTCATCAAATATTCGTTATTTGTAGACTTTTTAACTGCAATATTTAATTGTGGGTCTCTTACTCTTACCATGTTAACAGATGAAGATCAAACTATTTAGCTGCATCGCAACTTTCACTCGTAATATACCCCACTACAATATTACTGTAGTGGGGTATTATATTGGAACAATCTAATTGTCACTCTAACTACCATTCATCATAATATATTCACCTCAGAATGTGATGAACTAGATCCGACCTGGAAGAACATGAAAACTGCTTCTCTTCCTGCTCCTATCGGCTCTACAGTAACACTGGCATGTGATAACGAGTTCACTCTCTCCGGAGATGAGGAGATCACGTGTTCTCTACAACACGGAGGGGACTTCTCCTATACTACCAAACCGTTCTGCTGCCACAACGTCATTGAGAGTGGTGAGTAACGAGAGTGGGTGTTTCCTTCCCAGTGGGGAGGCGCTCCACGACTGTCTTGACACGTGTTGTTGTGCTAAATGTGTGTTTGTGTGTCGCTCCCTATTACTTGCGGAAAGATCTTTCAGTTCCGGCTCGAATGCAAATAATTCAGATTATACCATGATTCAGAATGTCATAAATCGTGCAGCATATTATACATGAAAACAGCGCGCTGAATTATAATTGCCCCGTCGTGTGATGATGTACGGGTTGCAAGTTGCATGCTATAGATGTGGGAATGAAAAGGGAAGTTCGGGCCACGCCGACTGAACACTTACTCGATGCATGCTGCCATTGACATGCCAACATTTCAGAATTCAGACATAAGTTATTACTTAACATTGACCACGTCCACTTTATAAATCATTCCTTCAACTCCAGATATCAAAATATATACGACTTCAAAATGAACATTTTAATGATGCTTTTTCTATGACAAAACTTGGGTAAAACGTGTTAATTGCTTCCTTATTCGAAAAATTAAAGAATTCTAAATATTATTGAACTAATTGGTATGTTAAATTTAAGCCGTCGCTCGCTGTCATTAAATGGCACCTAACGCTAATCCTCAACTTAGATATGATGCAAAAAAGAATCGCGTACATAGATTACTATATATCGTGTAGATAAAACAACAACGATAACCTCCGTACAGTGATCATAAGTGATGGTTGTTGGTTGATGGTTCCAAATCAGCTCTATTGTGGAAGTTAAGCTGTTGTGTACATACTACATATTGCAGCCTTTACTTTGAGTTAACCCTCCCCATTCCCCCTAGGCCCTTCCCCAAATGTCAGCTTATACGTTATATATTTTGAACGGTGCAATGTTCCTTAATAATGTTCCTTAACAATGTTCCTTGATAATGTTCCTTAACAATGTTCCTTAACAATGTTCCTTAACAATGTTCCTTAATAATGTTCCTTAATAATGTTCCTTAATAATGTTCCTTAACAATGTTCCTTAACAATGTTCCTTGATAATGTTCCTTAACAATGTTCCTTAACAATATTCCTTACCGACTTACAATGATCCTCTGGCTCGGGTCATCTTGAAATGTATTCAAATATTAACATATAACACTCGCCGATTATTAAACGTCTCAACAAGCATAATTTGATACAGGAACTAATACATCTTATAAACGCGATCAGTTAGCGGTTTATTAATAGTCAGATTATCGTGTATTACGTCTCGGAGCCAGTCACTAGTTCTTGTTTCGGCTCACAGTAACGTCCAGCTATATTCTAGAGTTAAATGGTCGAATGGAAAAGACGACAACTTTTTCGAATTATAATATCATTGGACAGGTACTAAGGGGGGAGGGGGGGGGGGGGAGCAACCCCGTCGACGCCCATGCTCATTTGACCAAACATTGGAAAATAAATGGGCATGCGGTGCAGTGTGTGTACTGCTGTAGAGTAGGTACGCGACTTTTGAGAAGAGGTCGAACTACAGAAATTTTTAACAATAACGCAGTGTGTACACGTTACTGTTGCATTGTCATCAATTCCAAACTTTCGGGAAAGGGGTCTGGTACGTTTTAAATTTAAACCTTGCTCATGATTTTTTAGACTTTTTAAACTGACACAGTGTTAATGTCAATAATGGTTCTAAATTTGTTTATATAGATTCGTCCGGGCTTTTACTGGAGTGACCTTGGGTTGTCACGTGACTGAAAAATGCTCTCATTTATAATTCATATACACTTCTCATAAACTATATATTTGAGTGTAAACACTCGCCGCGTGTTTACACAGAGACAGACACCTCGTGCCCCCGGGGCACTCGAGTGCTGTGTCAGTGTATCAGATAGGCATATCTGAAATAGATACGTGTCTACATATTATATCATAAACATGCATCGACGTAATGAAATCTTTTAAAAATTGATTATATACTAAAAAAACCTGCGTCAGCAGTAAGTTACAGGCAGCCTTATAAGTTAAAGTAAAACCGTTAAACATTTGGGAAATAACGATATGACAAATTCGTATTTCATATTAATGATCATTATTAATACAAGTTTTATTTTAATTAAAAAAAACTTGTATGTTATTTGCTGTCCCTTATCAGTAGTTTCAACTATTCAGCTCTCTATAAGTCTCTATATCTCGTAACCCTTTGAATACTGTGAACACTACCGGCCATGCTACTTTGGAAATCATGAACTTTTCGTAAAATGCTCTACGTAATTTCGGGGACAGAATTCAGAATGTTTTTGATACAGTTACCGGAACCGTAAAGTGCAAAAATATAACAGACGTAAATCTGTTGAGACCCAATATAAAAAACAGGATAGAAAATAAGTGTTATTGTTTGTGAACTGAAAGATTCGAAAGAAGATGTTAATATTCCAGAATATGCAGAATATGCAAAATATTCAGCGAATAAACAACTAATGTTGCAGGATAGGGTGAAAAAGAGTCTGTTATCTCCTTCCCTTTGACAACAGGCATTCTATTTTAACATAAAGTGAATCTAACATGGAAATATCAAACTACCAGCTTAAGCTTATGTATCTCTTCACTCTTTATAAAAGATAAAGAACCACATTTTTGGCATTTCAAAAATTTGAAAACCTTAATATGATAATAATACTTAATATGTGAAATATCTCACTTAGACACCTCATGAGATATTGAAATGTTCTTATTGTTCACCTCACCTTGTTGGCCGAGCATTCTAAGGATTTTAGCAGTTGCTTGTGAGACGTTCTCCACATTTTTGTCGTCAAGTCCAGTTCCAGCACTTCTTTCTATCACTTGAAGCAATCCTGACACCCTCGAGCTGCAAAGTGAATAAATTACATGATTCCGAAAACGATTCTCATATTCATTTTAAAGATTATAGTTATATGGCGTTTGTAGCATGTGTCCCCCTTACATCCATAAAACTTGGAAAAGTAGGTATTCATGAATATTGAACACCACATAACAATTTATAAGCAATAGCTAATTATGAAAGTTATACCTCTATAATCTAATAAAGTCTGTTTCAAACCAAATGATGATAACCACATAGCAAAGGGTAAGGTCCATGGACATTTCTCAACAACAATATACACTGACGCCAAGGCTTCAAAATTGAAAAATTAAAGATGCCACAACAGGTCTCAAAATAGATCAGATGTTATAAAGCACATTTCACACACTGACCTTAGTCTTACTTTATCAGCAAAATTAATGACGGGTTGCGATGAATTAAAGACAGTGAAGCCTATAAAATGGTCAAAATTAAAGACGCTGAAGCCTTCGCCAAAGTTAACCGTCTTTATATAACGAACTGAGTGTATTATCAATATTATAATTCAAAAGATTTTGTTTGTCTGTATTTACTGTACGACCGCCCACGTGCAAATTAGATGAGAAATAAGAAGTTGCATAGTAACCATAGTAACAAGGGTTGTCGAAATCGACTGTATCTTCGGTGGGGATGAATACTTTTTGATGCGATTAAAACTGACTACCAGTACCAAAGAATACTATTAGCTTCCTAACTGTGACCACAGGCTTTCTAGTATCATATAATATAGACTTACCTCAGACCTGTCCTCTTTCATAGTTTTATTTAAGGTCACGAGATCTGTGTTCATTCGAATTAAGTTCAAAAAATGTATACCAATCATTTAAGTGTCTGACAAAATATATTCAAGTGTTTTAGTGTAGTACCATTTGGATACTAAAAGAATGTTCATATCATGGTATTTTTAATTCAAAAGAATAAAACTAATTTCATCCATACAGTGGGGATTTACCTGCTTGGTTTAGGGTTGGACATGTTGCTCCCCTCAACGCTCAGTCACAGATGAATCATTGCAGCATTTGATCCAGCAGAGTTTGCTTACATTCCCTAGAGATAGAAATCTTGGATAAACCAAATCCGCTTTTGTTACTTTATGAAATTAGGGATCGTTCACGTGTTATGTAAACCAGGCGGGGGGATTGAAAAAGTCTACAATAGTGTTATTTCTATAGAATAGCTATGTGTAAAGTGGCTTAGAGGAGGGAGGGGGTCAGAAAAGCCTGAAGTCTGGCTTGCTTTACATTTAGTAAGCCAGACAAGTAAGTACATGACGTGGAAGGGTTGAATTTTTTCTGGACAGGGACTTTCCTAAATCATTTTGTTATCAAATATGCTATAGATGTGGACATATGCAAAGGTGGGGTAGTTTAGCCAGATTTCACTTCAAAGACATTGCTTTTAAACAGCAAATGTATTGATGTCAGACAAAGTTAGCTCAAAATTTAGCTTAATTTAGCAGTTTTGACAAATTTGACTGTTGCAATTCGCTCTAAATAAGACCTTTTTAATCAATTCAGCAGACAGAAATAGATCTAAAATCTAGGTTTTATGATTCTAATGTATCGAGAAGATAATACTCGTAACAGCATATTGTACTAATTTCATGTTTGTACTATTTTCGTTTTCTCCGTATAATAACCTGAAATAGGGCAAAATGTTTATGATGCAAATTTGCATTTCTAGCCCAAAAAATAAACTTTTTGTTTTTAAAGCATTTTTATCCCACAATCAATACATGTGTGTATCGATTGTGGATATAAATGTGTTCAACTCTACCTGACGAACTTGAAATATTGACTGATCAAAATAATACTTAAAGCCTAATGCAACCTCACACGAACGAGAAATGTGGCTTCTTAGTTCTTCTCAAGAGCCATGAATCGGGCCTCGGGGGAAATTAATGCATCGATGTTGCAAATCCATAGAAATGCAACAACATTGTCAATTGTCAATATAGTAATAAACAATGTAGTAATAAAGCAAGTCAAAAAGGTGAAGTTTCTTGGTGTTATTATTGATGATCAGCTTAAATGGGATGCTCATATACGGTCGCTCAACACAAAGCTGAAATGTGAAAGTGGGAAAATTTGTAGAATACGGCACATTATTCCAGAAAAACTCTACAAAGAACTGTACTACACACTATTTGAATCACACTTGCGATTTGGGATATCAGTATGGGGTGGCCTTAGTAACAACAGGCTTGAACCAATATTTATCACTCAGAAGAAATGTGTTAGAATACTATTTGGTAACCGAGAGGCGTACTTAGAAAAGTTTAGAACTTGTGCTAGAACACGAAGTAAAGACAAGCAAAAATTAGGAAGCGACTTCTATGAAAAACAGCACACAAAACCGCTATTTAAGAAAAATGGTTTACTAACCATACACAGTTTGTTCAAACACACATGTTTATTGGAAATGTTCAAAATCAATAAATTAGAATGCCCAGTCCCACTCCTAAATCTATTTCACAGATCATCAAGACGTGCTGATCGATTCATCACTCCAACCCCATCCACCTCCTTCATATATCAATCGACAAAAATGTGGAACGATTGTAGAAACACTGCTAGCAATATCAACTTCTCTACATCAACGAACCTTGTGAAATCCACAATAAAAAAGGAGTTACTCGGCATGCAGTCCAGGTACGACGAAATAGATTGGTGTGAACTGAACTTTGATTCCAACGAACTGAAATTCTAATGTCTACTCAATGAAGATATGCTGAGCGCTAAAGCCGATTGAAATGTTAATGTCTAAAGTATAAAATTTCGGCGGTCACGCCGCGCATTTTGCGCGCTGTGCCGCTATTTTTGGCCCATCTTATCAGATATTATTTACAATGTACTCGCACAGTACATGCAGGGCATGCCTCAAGATCATATTAGTGTAGGAATCATTATGTTTTCAACAATTCATTATATGTCGAATTCAGCAGTGGGTCCTCTCTTCGTCCGGTTTGTGTGTTTGTCGCCTGTCTGGACTCTCGTAGTCATGTAATTTTTAATTTTTAATTTCTAATTTGTTATTTTTATTTTAATTTTAATTTTTCAATTTTCTAAATGTGTGTTCTGCTCCGGGACTCGATTACCGTTTCGGCTTTCTTGAGACTGTAAATTTTGAAAGCCAACTATGCGGGGCGCCTGCCCACCGGCACTGAAGAGTGATCAAAGAATTAACTAAAATTTCCTAATATAACGATTGAATATAGAGTTGTTTAACCGGCGCGGCCATGGGTGTGTGGCCTAGCTTTGGCTGCACACCTATGACTGCGCTGTTGCTGGTGGACAGGCGCAGTTTTTGTTGTGCAGTAGTGTTGCAAGAGAATAAAACCAACTTATTATGTACTAAATGGAATCAAGAATATTATTGACTATATTTGATAACGATGAATTGTAAATTTCGATCAATTTATATTTTTCGGTCTCCAATTATTGAACTGCGGAAGCTGGTTGCCTCAACAATGTTGACTATGCATGGTATGACTGAATTGTAAACACGTGATAATTGAACGAAAAATAAATGATGAACATGATTCAAAAACTGTAAACCACCAAATGAATTATCGCTTAAATTTAAATAAGTATTTAAACAAAAACCATCATGTGCCGCTAAGCAGCAGGGCGCGGCTCATCTGGACCACAGCAAATCGGCGAAAATGGGTTCGAAAAAGCCACTATTGGCACTCGAGTCCTTGATCTTTCCGATGGTCCACTGGGGCTTTTGAGCTGCCGTCCTTCAGCTTCTGTAAACTGAAATTACTACCAATCCAATCAGGGACGTAGCCAGGATTTTTCTTTGAGGGGGGCTGTCGGCGAGCGAAGCGAGCCGACGCGTCCAATCAAGCTGCGCAGCGAGCAAGCTGCGGCAGGGGTCTGGGGGCGCAGCCCCCAGCGGGGTCCAGGGCGGAGCCCCTTGGCGGGGGCTAGGGGGGCTCAGCCCCCCGGAAATTTTTTGCGAAACAGGGTGTTTTAGACGACATTTGGCATTAAAGAAATTTGTAGGACAGCAATAAACTGGGATTGAAAAGAATCAAGTACTCACGTAAATTTGGTAACTTCACAACAGCAATCTGCATTCTCCAATCAGAATTTACGACTTACTCAGGCCTCATCGTCTAAAGATTTTTACATTTCCTACGGTCTAGGGGACACTATTGACTATAATTATAGAAGTCTTCTAGAATGTTTGCTTGGATTTAATGACATATATTTACTAATCCACAGTTCAAATCTTTGACTGACTGCAGTCATAAACACAGCCCTCTTACCAGGCGACCATGGGGACTAGGGGGCTTATCTTTTTTCTGGGGTTCGATTTTTTCCGGGGGGGGCTGCCGCCCCCCTAGCCCCCCCCTGGCTACGTGCCTGAATCCAAGTTGAGGCAATCAGCCGACGCGCGGCTTTTATGGTTATATATGATATGTTTAATCTGTAATAAAGATCAAAATTCAAATTTGTTTCTCTAAAAAAAATTTGTTTCTCTATTTCTTAACACATTTCAACACTGCAACTGCACCTATTATATAGAGCATTGGCATTAGTATAGCGCATTAGTATAGCGCAAGTGGTCTCCTAAATTTATTGATTCAATAGATATAGTTTTGCTGCATATGAAAAATTAAAATAGCATCACTAGATCATCGATGTAATTTGGACACTCATTCCAAACCAGTCCCTTAAATTACTGTAATTTCACCAAACATAATAGCCTGGGTCCCCAGGTAAATCAGCCCCCTGATTATGCAACAAGCTGGTAAAACATTTGACATTTACTAGGCGGCGCTCAGCCTGTCATTCCGCCTAATCTCTATTTTATGTTTATGAATATTATAGCTAGAGCGTGGGGTCCCCAAGTAAGTAAGACAGGGTTATTATTTTTAAAAGTATTTCAAGGGATTTGTTTAATTGCATAAATTGATTTTGAATGCATATGGAAAAGATTTGATTTTAATTTTTATTGATTGATTTACATAGCCATGTGTATACGCGTACTGCGTGACGCGGCGGCGGTCGCGCGCTACTGCAAGTGGTCGCGCGCTACTGCAAGCGAGAGGGCTCTGGTTATAGAGCAAATTGATTAATGCAGCACATTATTTAGGAAACAATAAAAAATTTCAACAAAATTGTTATTTGTAGCGCGATGCACTACTGGGTCGCGCGCGCAACAAATAATGCTTCTCGCAACCACACGTATGCAGATCGGCGAGATGCGAAGGATTGACATCGTGAATCAAAATTGTTATATGAGAAGTATTATAATTGATAATACTTCCTAGTTCCAATTATATTTGTCATACGTTGTATGACCCGCCGCGCACGAGTGCGCGTCTCCCCTGTAGTGAAACGACCGTGGGGTTCACAACGTGATACAAGTTCCCATATGACAATTTTGTTGAAATTTTACACCTAATTTTGCTCCAAAAGCCGCGCACCGTCAAATATGGCACCTAAGCGAAACTCACTGACCATTCCAAAAAGGTATAACAAATTTGGTACTGTGAAAATTCTCGCAGTCTCTTGACGATCGCAATTGTTAATGGTTTGGCCCGGCACGCGCTACTTAATTGTAGCACATTTCGAGAAGAAAGCGGCGCGCGCTACTTTCAAGAAATTTAGACGAGTAACATCCGTCAAGTATAATCGCAACATGAGTCAATTTGATTTTTCAAATTATTCGGTAATACTAATTGGAAGACGTTGTGATATAAAGCTTGGAGGACTTCTCCGCTTCGACGCGCCGCGCGAACTAGCATTCATATTCATCGTCGATCGTTGCTCTGCTTCGCAAAGCAACAATTTCGATGGGTTGACATCGTCAACCAAAGATAAAGCATAATTGAGTGCCCAGTAACGCATCGCGCTACAACAACGCACCGCGCGATTTATCATTATTAAGCAATTGCTTAGTTTTGCAGAGCAAGAATCTGAAAGGGTTGACATTAAGTCAATCAATTCGGTAATTACGTTAATTTAACGTCGATCAGTTTAGGCCAGACCTGGGACCATGCAAGTAAACTTGAATGTAACTTGGCGCTCGTCTT